TTACCACTGACCAGGCTCAATTATGAGCCCGCTACAGCAGTATTCTCCCCCCTGGTTTTTGTAAATAACAATTCTCCCCCCTGGCTTTTATATTTTTTTTGCAGTGAATCTTTTTTGTTTTGAAATGTTTTTTGGTTGTTTTTTTGATATTTTTCGCACTGACATACAATAAAGTTTTATTTTAAGATGAATACAAGTCATACACGCTGTTTTTTCTAGTGCGGGAACAAATATATATTAAAATATCGAAAAATGTGGACAAACTAAAGATTTTAATACTGACACGAACTGACAGGTTTATTATTTTATTTTCGTAATAATATTTTTGTTATTTATACATTTCAATATGAAAGTTTACAAATGTTTGAATGTTTTGGCACTATCCTCGCATATTTTGAAGACAACTAGGAATTTATGGGCAACAATTTGACTTTTCTAAACCCTGAACTGATGAATTGCGCAGGAAGTATGTAATCAGTATTCAGTATGTGATGCTGTCTTCAAGACTTTATATCTAGCCACAATCCAAAGAAACAGAGGCCATCGCTCAGGCAAAATGCTGGGCAGCTGACGAATACTAAGTGCAGGAATACAGTTTCAACCAAGAATCATATTTGCATAATATACTTTTCATTCAAGTCATCAACTTGTACCTTAATAAACCTGTTTTCAGCATTCTCAAATTGCATCCCTGGACCCCTGGTCATATTAAAGAATAACATTTATTCCTCCATAGGCTGCACTGATTAGCCTAATGAATATAACCCCTTTGGAGGTTGATACCATAAACAGAAAATTACAAAAGTTGCTGCAGATTGAAGACACTGCTCAGTCAATGCATGTTTATATTTATTTCATTAATTAATAAATATCACAAATGGTATAAAAACACCAGCCAACAACAAAATCAGATAACATGGAAATGAAGAATAACAATGCACAGTCATAAAATGCATGAACTTCATCCTGAAAAATAAAAATGGAGATATGATCAAGATTTATTCCCAAGGTGCAAGAAGCTAAAAAATAAATTAAAAGCTGTGATAATTGATCATTTCACTTTGGATTTGACAAGGTAAACAAGATAATATATTAACTAGGCTTTAACAGGGCTCACTATCAGAGGTTGGAATTTTACACTGTTTACAGCATCTTATTATTTTGTATTAGCACCATCAGGTCATGTTAATTGATGCTGGGTGGGATCAATAGAAGAGTGACTATAGTAGACTCACTGGGGAATGGTTTACCTATTAGCATTGATGTTTGCTATCATGAAAACAACATAGACCAAACTCAAAAGATTGACACTGCCAGGAATATAATTTTTTCCCCACACAAGTTAAGAAAAAATGATAAAATTTGGGTATATAACATTGCATTGACTGTTTGTACCACACGTTTTGATGGATTTATTGTCTCAGAGGCTTTGGTAATCAGTTTATACTATAGTCCAACTCGAAAGGCCAAAAACGAAATTGTTTATAGTAAAAAAAGTTGAAAAACGGCTTACCTGAATGTTATAAAATAAGAGCAAAATGAGAAAATTCACTCTACCGATAAGTGAATAAAGCCATTCACAACGTCAGACGCAGAGCACGAAGCTACGTGTCCTTTCCATTTGTTGAACAGGGAAAAAGAGAAATACTTTTATCCATTTTATATGAAAAACAAAAAATATATACGGAAAGCTGAAAATATTTTCATAAAATCCAGGAGGGAGACGGACTCAATTTCTCACTTTGTATCGCGGTATGTCAGTGGTAACTACCATGAGCAAAAGGAACCAAGTGGCGTCAGCAAACGCCGAAATCCGCCATGTTTTTTGCTTCACTTTCTGGTCAAGAACCGGTCCTCCAGGAATTATTATATAGCTCAGTGCCATTGAACGTCCATGACATTTGGGCAACTTTGGATTCCGCTATGTTCTCCCGGGTCCCGGGTGTGGAATTAGTACCCTCGCACGGTGCTCCCACTGAGCTATATAATAATTCCTGGAGGACCGGCTCGCCACCAAAAAGTGTCCGCAAAAACATGGCGGATTTTGAGCTTTGCTGACGCCACGACGCCACATGGTTCCTTTTGCTCATGGTAGTTACCACTGACATACCGCGATACAAGGTGAAAAACTGTGTCCATCTCCCTCCTGGTTTTTATGAAAATATTTTCGGCTTTCCGTGTATATTTTTTGTATTTCATATAAATCCTCTTTTTTCCTGTTCAACAAATGGAAAGGAGACGTAGCTTTGTGCTCTATATGTCTGACGTTTTGAATGGCCTAATTCACTTATCGGGGGAATGATTTTTGTCATTCGGCTGTTATTTTATGGCATCCAGGTAAGCCGTTTTTATAACAATTTCAGTTTTTTCCTTTGGACTCGAATATAAACTGATTACCAAAGGTTCTGAGCCATATAAATCCATCAAAACTTTTAGTACAAACAGCAAATATACTATTTTAGACCTTTTTGTACATGTGCAATGTTATATACTCAAACTTTATCATATTCTTGTCTTGTGTGGGGAAGGAATTAAATTCCCGGCAATGTCAATCTTTGAGTTTGGTCTATTTTGTTTTCATGATAGCAAACAATAATGTAAATAGGTAAACCTTCCCCCCAGTGAGTCTATTAGATTTAAGCAATAATTACATGATCTGACTGACAAAAGTGTGGAGTGGGTGCTGATACAAAGTAATAAGATTTTTGCTGCAAACAGTGTAAATTTCAACCTCTGATGATGGTGACTGTTAAAACCTAGTTAATATATTATCTTGTTTGCCTTGTCAAATTCAAATCAATTATCATGGCTTATAATTAATTGATTTTTTAACTTCTTGCACCTTGTGAATAAATCTTGATCAGATCTCCATTTATATTTTTCAGGATGAAGATGCTATGAAATAAAGCAAGCTAGAGATGGCTTATTAATTAATGAAATAAAGCAAGCTAGAGATGGCTTATTAATTAATTGTCATGCAATTTGTTGGAACATTGAACTGAAATGTATTAAGCATATTATACACATTTTTATGAATCTGCATTGTTATCCTTAATTACCATGTTATCTGATTTTGTTTTTGGCTGTTATTTTTAAACCATTGTTAATTTATAAAAGAAATAATATAAACATGCATTGTGTGAGCAGTGTATCTTCAATCTGCAGCCACTTTTATAATTTTCTGTTTATGGTATCAAACTTCAAGAGGGCTAAATTCAATGGGCTAATCAGGAGTAATTAAGTCTATGGAGGGATGAATATTATTCATTAATAAGACCAGGGGTCCAGGGGTGCAATTAGATAATATTGAAAATTTTATAGCCCATTGAGGTACAATTAAGCTGATGACCTTACTGAAAAGTGTATTATGCAATGTTTCTTTGGATTATACCTAGATATATTGTTCTGAAGACATTCAAGACTATTCAAGAAAACATTATTAATTGCATACTTTCAGTAATTCTGCTGTCCATGCAGGGTTCAAAAAAGTCTAATTGATGTCCATAAATATCCAATTGTCCCCGAAATGTCCGACAATAGTGCCAAAAAGTTCAAGCATTTGTTATAGGAATGTAGAAATAATGAAAATATTAAAAAAAACACCTGTCAGTTCGTGTCAGAATTAAAATCTTCAATTTTGTCCACAATTTTTTGACGTTTTAATATATATTTGTTCTTGCGTTGGCAATAACAGCGTCTACGACTTGTATTCATCTTAAAAAAACGCTTTATATTTTAAAAAAATGCAATTAATGATGTTTCATGACTTTATATTTCAAAAAAACAAAACAAGTTTTCACGGGAAATTTTTTTTATAAAGGCCAGGGGGGAGAACCTGTTGTTTACTAAATCCAGGGGGGAGAACACCCTTGTAGCGGGCTCATAATTGAGCCCGGTCAGTGGTAACTACCATGGCCAAAAGGAACCATGTGGCGTCAGCAGAGCTTCTGCGGTTGCGCAGAAGGGGGAAGTCCGCCATGTTTTTGCGGACAAAAAGATGGCGGAGAAGTTACCGAAAAATGACGAGCCGGTCCTCCAGGAATTATTAGCGACCTTAAGATTAGACGACGGTTAGTGGAGATGACGGTAACCGGAAATGAATTGAACTATTGAGCATGCGCAGTAAATGTTTTGAAAGAAATTGCTCCGTCCACATCACGACGACGACGCCATTTTTGCTGTTTTGCCGTTCACTAGAAAACGCCTCTTACTTTTCATGGATCCAAAGCCGTAAGTTTATTAATTTTTGTCTTTCTCGATTTGATGGAGAAATATGATTTTCCTGTGTGAGTTTTTCGTCGAATCAATGTGTAAATTTCGATTTTTCCTTGTATCTTTTAAGGAGGCAAATGGTTTGGTCGCGAGACCATGACGAGCTGTTGTGCAGGGAAATCCTGGTCGTAGATCCCTTTACAGGCACAAGGCGAAGGACAGTACAGAGGGGCACTAAATGGAATGAGATTGCACAAAATCTCAACAGCGTTCAGCACGTATCGTTCCGAGTCAACCAAAGGTCTGTGAGAGAAAGATACAACTTACTTGCAAGAGAATTTCGAAAGAAAACGAAGGACGAAGAATCGGCCAGTGGCATCGAAATTGATGACGTTAGTGAAATCGATAAGGCCCTTGAGGATATCGTAGAAGTTGAAGATGCAGCAGATCAAAATCAGCAGGATGTTACTGAGCAAAAATTGCAAAAAGAAAATAAAGATCGAGAAGATGCTGAATCGATTCGATTAATGGCCATGGAGACGTTGGGTGAAACTCAAAAACGAAAACTCGTTGATAATAAAGCCAATAAACCAGTAAAAAGGCGATCAAAGGCAGTGATGCAGTTAATTATTTGAGGGAAAAATCTGCTGTAATGAATGAGTGGAAAAAAGAAGAGTTAGATTTGCAGAAACGGAGGCTGGAAGCTGATAGCAAGAAACATGATGAACTCATGCAAATGATGATGAATCAACAACAAATCCAACAACAACAACAAAAGCAACAAAATGATCTTATTCTGACTTTGTTAACACAGCTGAGCCATAGAAAGTAAGCTATGACAAACTATTATATATATAAAGTGTTCATATTCCATTTTAGCTTGGACTATATTGAAATATAGTTTCTAAAAACTGTTAGTTTTTACATAGTATTTAAAAAAAACAGTGAACATTGTTTTGTTATTCTATGAAGTCTTGAGATAACTAAACGTTTAAGGTTATATGGTTTTAATATTGTACTGTACTTTACAGAGTGTGCAATAAATGTTTTATCTACAATGTCTTTAGTCAATAGTTCCCAAAATACTCTTGTAGAGTGGGAGGGCTTAGACCAAAATACTCTGAGGTTTGATTTCCATAGAGGCAAGTTAATGCATTGCGTAGTATTGCACAAACAATATACATTTTCCCAACACAGCTCAGGCCAATTTTTAAATTCTTTTTAAAATCCATGAATTTAAAATAGTTCACGATGTCTCCAAAAAGCCATTCAACTGCTATGCGAACTTTGCTCATAGATTTGTTGAATTCTTTCATCGGCTGAGTTAAAACAGCATTTCTGAATGGAGCCTGCAGGTGTACCCTTAATGGGTAAGCTGGGTCTCCATATAGACATAGAGGTTGGCCTTCTTCAGTAAAGCAAAATGTTTGAAGTTGGTTTAGTAGACCAGATTGTGCAAGCATAAAAGAGTCGTGCCTTCTTCCCTCTGAACAAATTAGAAATAATGCACCATCATGTATATACATAGTTAACCCAAGAATAAACCATGCTAAATTGATCTTTAAAAATAAACAAAAAAACTGCTCAAAACCTACTCACCCATAGGTCCATACAAATGACCAATCATTCCATTTGGCAGAGCAACAGATTGAAATTTAATAGCATGGACACGTTTGTGACCATTGTAGACAGCTCTTTGCAGTTTCCCTGGCCGACAAATTGCTCGGACAGTTCCATCAATAAACCCAACACAGTTATTGAGTGCAGCTCCTTTTAAAAAAATAGAACTAGCATAATCTTTTAGATTATCAGGGCTGAAAAGCATTTCATTCCAGTGAGAAACTCGGTGGCCGTGGTGATCATAAATGTAGTCTACAACTACATTTGTGATCATGCTCAGTTCAGGAACTGCCCTGCCAAACAGTGGTATCATGTCCGAGTATCTGCAAGGATAGGCAAAGCGTTTCAGAACAGCACATAATCCTTCAAGACCATCTGCCTTCGTTCCTTGAGGACATTTAAAATATTCAGGTATACCAAGAGCTTCAGCAAGCTCAGGTATATCATTTTTTCTGAATCGCAGCTCAGCTTCGCATTCAGTGTTTTCCAACTTTTCCAGACAAAATCTGCCGTATTCTTGGTAAGGAAACGCTGGATTTTTGGAAAAATTACTATCATACAACAACACAAACTCTTCGTCGTCGATAATGTTATCAAAATAGCTTTCAACTAAAAATTTTCTGGTCTTTTTGAAAGTTGTCATTTCGATTTTTGTGAATTCCCCGTCGTCTGTTTATTTTTTAATCTTAAATTTCCCGCCCTCAGACGACGACGGTAAGGCTAGATCCAGTCCGTAACAACCGTCGTCTATTATCCGTCGTCTAATCTTAAGGTCGCTATTATATAGCTCAGTGGGTGCTCCGCACCGGCTCGGGGATTAACTTCCCGTAGCTTATTTCAGGCAAAATATTTCAGTAGCAACGTCGAGCAAAATCAGCTAACCACGTCGTAGATCGTCAACTAACCTCAATACAGAAAGTCGGCAAGAAAGATCCCTCTTAAGCCAAAATCCAAAACATATTTTTTTCTAAGCCTCTAAGTTTTCGCGTCGTCGCGTGTATAAGGAACTTATAAAAGGCCTAGTGACTAGGGTGTTTTATGTATTGTGACATTATCTGACATGAAAATGCTGAACCTGTTTGTTAAGGTCTGGTTTGTGGTTTGCGTATGTACAGAGTCTCTTTAAGTTTGAGAGAGAAGGAGGTGTTAGGAATGTCCAGGATAGTGAATTAAGAGCGGGTGTATTGCAGATAGGGTTTTGTGAATGTTTGTAGACGTGTGAGTTTTTGTCAGTGGAGGTGTGTTCTTTGAACTTTGTGGCGTGATGACGGGTGGTTTCCCACATGCAACAGGAATTACATCCTGTTATTGTAAGAATGCTGACGCATCAAAACAGATGTTGTGGGAACGAATTCCGTTTTGTAAATGCATTCTATAAGTGTTTTAATGAGACCCGATTTACACCGAAACAAGACGCCTATTCTGGCGTTAACTCGGGCGTGCTTTGCACGTGTCAGTCTTCAATATAAAGCTGGATGCTTCTGAACATAAACAGTGTTCATACTCATTTAGATGCCTTGTGAACCTATAATAGCAAATAAAGAACAACAACATTCACCTCTGCGAGCTTCACTTTAAACCCGAGTGTATTAATATGTGTAAGTATTCAGTAGCTTATTTATATTCGCGCTTACATAATTTGTTATGAATCTCAATAAATTATCATAGCTGATAGATTACATGGTCATGTTGATAAAAATCCTTAAACGAACAAATCCTTTACCGAACCTTTCGATGATAGAAAGGGTAATTTAAATGCGCCGCAAATAAATTGATAGATAGACAATTTTTTGAAATACCCACAGTAATATTATAAATTATGCTAATCTTTTTAAAATCTATTTAACTCCAAAAAGAAAAGATTTGGTATGTGGTATTTGGTTCCTACTGAGAATATTCCCACGAGAAGCCACGAAAAGAGAAAGAAAGAACGGAGACCGCTAGTAAGGATGGAAGAAGCCCCGTTAACTTGCACAAGCTTCCTAAGTGAATTACCCGCCATAGCTTTCGAAAGCATTGTCAACCAAGCGAAGGAAGAGAAATTTCACCCTAGGAGGGTGGTGATAACGAGTGTAGGAAATGTAAAATTTCAATATTTTGATGATATACATTGTCTACCAAAATACTCCTTTAGGGTGGACCAAAGTTTTAGCATCGCGGTACTGACATACAATTGGCCTCTCTCCAAACACCATGGTGTCTATAAAGAATGTGTGGAAACTGTTCAATACGTCAGTATTTCAGAACAACTACAAATTATCCTAAAGTCCTCATTATGCAATGGATTGCCCCAAGATGATGAGGATGTGCAAGCTATTGTTGCCGATCCTACATCACAGTGTTCTTTGAGGTCTGAGTGTTCTTCGTCATTCAATCCCAAAGCTGGCAAGTGATGATTCTCACTTTAAGGTTCTGCGGATTGTAATCTAATTGCCTTGAATGATGAAGATCAGTGCAAACCATGTGCCCGTGCTTTTGTAAAGCTAACAGAAGAAAATGAACGTCATCAAACCTTCCTGCAAAATACAAAGCACCACTTGCAGCCAGTGGACCTGAAAATTTACGGGCTACTCTGAAAGCTACCAGGCTTGAGTGTAAAGAGTTGGAAGGAAGACTTCAGAACTTGGAGCTAGAAAAAATTGAAAAGAATGGTTTTGGCATAAGTGAGTCCACCGAGAAAGACATCCATGAAGTTTTTCTGGCATCAACAGATAAAACTTTTTCAATCAAGCAAGATGGGAAGAAGATATCATCCCCAAATCATTCTATTTGCTCTTTCACTACATGTTAAATCCGCAAGTGCATACCGTGAGCTGCAAGACAGTGGTACCCTTATTCTCTCAAGTGAACGTGCTCTTAGGGACTATAGAAATTACTCAGTACAAACCGAAGGCAGGCATCAACAAGGAAAATGTGAAAGTGCTAATAACAAAAAAATAGATTTTAGATATTTAGTTCCTTATTGGCAGTATATACGATATTCGAAAACCGAATTGCAATAGCTATTTTAGTTTAGAAGTTATTCCCGTTGAAACATGGTATTTTGCGATGTAGGAAAACTGAAAACCGCGCAAATGGAATTGGTGCGAAATCGATGTTGTGATGTCACAATAGGAACCGGTCTATTTCAATCATTAGAAAAACATTATAGCGTGTATTATTCACAGAGGGCGACAGCGCAAAAAAGGCACTCATTAAAAAATATGCCGAATATATGTATTGTAGGTGGTTGCTCTAATGTATCCAATGCGGGAAAAGGAATCTCGCTACATTTTACACCTTTTTCTGGTGACGAAAGGCCAGAAGCTAAAAAGACGGCATTGTTTGCAAATATGTGCATGTGTGCAAGACGAGCCACAGCAACCAAGCGAGCTTAAGTATACATTACGCAATCGAAAATATGGAAACGAGAGAAAAACTGCTAATCGATGCTTCTCTTAGCAATGTACGCCAACAATTCATATTCATTCGTATTGTACTCTAAGTAATTTGCGTAACAAATTGCTGAATTGAACGCGACCCTGTGGTAGAAAACTCAGAAAGAATTGTCCTCATTGTGTTTACATTGTTGCGTGACAGCCGTGACTTGCGTCTCATTAGACTTTCTACTCTTATATTTTCTACGTTTTATACGTTCATATGCACAAGCTGGTAAGGGGAATCTTCTATCTCAAAGGTTTCCAAAAACCAACCATATAAAACTTCTGTATGCCGGGTATTTCGATAGAATATGCAAATTTATAAATTTCTTGATCATTTCGAAATATACATTTGGGCCAATATTTTCATTTACAATAAAATAAAGAGTCTAAAAAAGTCATAGATCAGCCAAATTGGCTAGAACCCGACTGGACTAGATAATCTTCAGCTAGATTTTTGAGCGCAATTTTGGTTCTGTTAAACGTGGCGACCATCTGTCCAAACACACACTGCTAAACCCAGGATGGGCGACAATGCATGCTGGTGTCGTTTCGGATCACCGTTTCGCAGTTCCTGTATAACAAACTCGCTTTTCAGAACTTTGCACTCCTCAATTTTCATGCAGGAGGAAGAGGAATGACTATATAAAGCCATACACATCTTGTGATGATGAGCGTTTTACCGGCATGGCTTACAGAGGTTTTCCTTAAATACCTTGAAGATTGGAGGACAAGCACATTGACACGGCATGGTGAGTACTCCGCAGTTAAAATGGGGAAGATGTTTTTGTCCATGCAAACCTACAATGGTCTTAAGATTTCTGTTTTGTCCCATGTCGAAGCAATCAAGTTTATGTATATGAATTAACCATAAACATACCAATGCTCCCTCTTACTCAATACTCCTGGCAAATAATGACATATTAAGCTTTAGTATAGGAAATGAACACATTGCTGGGAAAATAAGAAAAGAGAATTTGTAAACATTCAGGATGACTAGTATCCCTCCCTATTAGTGGGTTTTGTGCATGTGACAAAAAAGTTTGGGCAAATTCCGGCCATGTCAGGTTAAACGTGATTTTTTAAAGGTCCCTATAATCATAGGCATCCCAGGAATACAATTTGTATTTTTATATTCAATTCAAAACTCTCGCAAGCGCACGCGAGTCGCATTGCTATGACGTAATGCATAAACAATTGTCAATTACTATATATATATACCTAAGGTAGGAAAGTCTAGCTCACTATTTCAAACCAACACATCTTAAGACGTCCGAAAATATCAAAACCTCGTTTACAAAAGCCGTAAAAACTATACGGATAACTCTACTCAACTCTAGGTGACTTTTTTCCCCCAAATACTCCTTCAGATACTCATAAATATGAAAATATTTACGGTGTTTTGCCGTAATTTATCGTGTCTCTATGCAGAATGCGATCGACTTGAAATTCGTCATAGGTTTCAAATACAATGCCAGCTTCTCATTAGCTATCAAGCCCGCGAAAATATTTGAAAATTTCAATAGCCAATGAGAAGCTGGCATTGTATTTGAAACCTATGACGAATTTCAAGTCGATCGCATCCCGCATAGAGACACGATAGATTACGGCAAAACACCGTAAATATTTTCATATTTATGAGTATCTGAAGGAGTATCACCTAGAGTTGAGTAGAGTTATCCGTGTTTATATTTGTATAGTTTTTACGGCTTTTGTAAACGGGGTTTTGATATTTTGGGACGTCTTAAGATGTGTTGGTTTGAAATAGTGAGCTAGAATTTCCTACCTTAGGTATATATATATAGTAATTGACAATTGTTTATGCATTACGTCATAGCAATGCGACTCGCGTGCGCTTGCGAGAGTTTTGAATTGAATATAAAAATACAAATTGTATTCCTGGGATGCCTATGCTATAATTAGGTTTTTCAATTAAAAACTTTGTAACTGATCTGGTTATTAATTGTATAAAAAAGCCTATATGATCAGCCTGATGATCTTAGTTCTGCATGCAGTGGGAATTTTGACAGCTTCACCTTGCTGCAACAATAGCAATATACATAGAAATTTTAAAATAATTTTGGGGTCAACCAACACAACCACCACATATTTTCCCAACCTCACTTTGATGCAATATAGTCTCTTTACACCAATGTGAGGTTTGCAGTAAAGACAATGACGTAAGGGAAAACCTGCATAAGTGCTATTATATAGAGATTTTACACTGTTAGATGTGTTATACAACTGATATAATTAGCCAACACCTTGTATTAGATTTTGTTGCACTATTTTAGAATTTAATATTCACATTTTACAATTACAACATCAATCCACAAGACTATTTAAT